TCTCTCTCTCTCTCTCTCTCTCTCTCTCTCTCTCTCTCTCTCGCTCTGCAGGGAGGAGCACATCCAGGCACTGCTTGCAGTGCGTGGCGACGCCAGCAGAGAAATGCGGCAAATGATCATCGGAACCCTCAGCGAGAACAAAGTCTCCTCCACCAGCGTCATGCAGCCCATATTCAAAGACATTACCGTTCCCACCATCACCATGACAACCATGACCTCTATGGCAACTGCAAAGCTGCTAAAATAAAGACACACACTGACACTACTTCCATTTCCATTACATTAACACAGATTAATTCATCTGATTGATGCTGTCGTGTTTTATTTTTTCTACTTTTTGTTTTCAGTTCATCTTTAATCGACATGGCAGTTGCTTCAGTAAGACAAACACAATAAAAGCTGATCTGTAAAAAAGAAAATGCTAATGTTTGTAGTTGGAAGATGAAGCGTTTAAAGATTTGTACATCTGCATTTTCCTCTTATTGCACCTCTTCAGTACCATGTTTATTTTTGTTTTTAATTTTCTTCCCAACAAGATATTGATTTGATGAGATATAAAAAATAAAGGCTTGTCAATATCACCCGCCGCATTTCATGCCAGTGTTTTAGAAAAGATGTGACTAGAAATGATTGAGTTGGAAACATTAGGTCAAACGTTGAAAATGATAATGTCTGGAGTCGTGTTGTGAAAGACTCTCAATTACTACCACACAAACTATTCCAGTATCTGTACAATGACTGATCCAAACAACTGGGCTTCTGTAGTTGAAGATGTTTTGATTCTCATCCATTTATTATTATTTTTACTCATTTTTCAATGTTCACCAGAGAAGATGCTAATGATGACAGTTTTAGACTGACTTACAGAAATGGACAACTCAATATTGATGTTTACAGGAAACCAACTCACACAAATTTGTCTTCTGTTTGAGTCTCGCCATCCACTGGAATGCAAACCTGTCACCAAAACTGTGGCGGCCCCTGAGCATAAATATTATTGGGGCAGATGTTAATTTCCTGAACCATTAACCAAACAAGTTTTACAAATGGTGCTACATTTTCTGTTGTAAAAAAAAAAAAAGCTGGAGAAAATAAGGAAATATGTTACTTAATAATGAATTTATTACTTTTTTTTTTTTTTTTTTTTAACAATGTCTCCTTTTTTCTCCCTCCCAATGGCCAAGGTTGTATCTCATAAAAAATAGTCTGGTTTAAAAATTAAATCAGACAAATAAGCACCTCCCACACCATCATCTACCCCCACCTGAAACAAAAGTATTTACAATTTTATTTGTTATATTTTATAAGACAGGTACACAGCTTTCTGGATTGGATTTTCTATTTGATTAGAGGAAATAATTCTGAAATAATACTCCAGATAAACACAGTAAAAAAAAAAGGGGGGGGGGGGAGTGAAGGAACTAAAATGACTTGTAAAAGTCAAGTAATAAATTACTCGTTTTATGCGGGGTTTGAACCAAACATTTGATTACAAGACAGCTGTGTTAACCACACTCGTGCAAAAGCCACAGAATGGTTAAATCGGATCCCACCATGTCAGTAAAAATGTCTTAATTATTTAATTAATTGCCATAATTATCATCATCTCATTAAGCAAATGTCACACAGAATGCGAGAAGATATTTTCAACCCTGTTTCTTGCAAAAGATGCAGAATTGAAAACAGGCTTAGTAACAAGATAGTACATGAAGCTCTGGTCTCAAGGTCTGCCTACATACCGCATAAAGAAGCGTCTCCTTACAGTATAATGCTTATCAGACAGAGGTAAGTCAACACAACCTCTGCTTCACAGCTCATAGGCCTGAAGGTGTCAGAAGTCATCAGTTTTGCAGACTCCTCTCCGAGTAGACAAAAAGGCTCGACCAGTTTTGCTTGTGATAAGATGGTCTCTTTTGGTATGCCCCCTCCTCCATGGCCGGCCCTCTTCCTTGTTTTTTTTCCCCCCCTCTTGTCCTGTTCGCCATTGTGACACTTCAAATTATTGTCTGAGTGTCAAAGTGATGCCCAACAGATTTACTTTCACAAGCAGAGCATTATGGCTGGCCTTAATGCTCTACTTGATATTGTAAATGGACTATACTTATATAGCGCTTTTCTATCTTATTTCAAGATACTCAAAGCACTTTACACTACAATCTGTGTCCTCATTTACCCATTCATACAGCACTGTACTAGATCTCTACAAAGCTAATTGAACAAATCTTTCTAAAGAGACTAATCAGTGCTTCAGATCACATTCATACACTGATGGGACACACATCAGAGGCTATGAGGGGTTCAGTGTCTTGCCCAGGGACACTTCGACATTTGACTGTGGGGGATTTTAACCCCCGACTCTCGCATTGGAGGATGACTGCTCTAACCACTCAGCCACAGCCGCCCCCAAATATATAAATTAAATTTTATTAGAATTTGCTTTGCGCTTATTTCAGATGTAATGGAGATGGGGATGAAAAACAAAGAAGATAAAGCAGAAAACTGAGAGAAGGGTTAAAAAGTAAAGGAGATTTGAATAGAGAGAGAGAGGTATAAAGAGAACACATATCAACATCATTGAAGTCTGCCTCTACACCTGCGGAAAGAAAAAAAAAAAACAAGACAAAACCGAGAAACCACAACAACAAACAACATATATAATGATACTTATAACATAATTAGAAAGTATTTTATACAGTACATGGTAATACAAGATGTATTTAGTGGCCACCACAACCCAACTGAGTGTAAATCTGATACACCTGAATCTAAACACCAGTGTGAGCTTGCTTGTCACTATAAGGTTTCTCCATAAAAATGTTCAATAGTGGATGTGGGGACACACAGACCCATCCCCACAGGACACGATGGTAACACAGGGAAGACCGGAGCCACAGACACACAGCGGCCCCCAAGCCCGGTACTCCAGGAGCCCTTCAACAGGGACACCCGCACCCCCCAGAGAAAGAAGCAAAGGGAAGCCCCGGGCGATCCCCAGCCACCACAATGCAGAAACCTGAGGAGGCTGCAGCGACGAGTCCACAGGCCCCGCCGGCAACCCGTCCCTCCAGAGTAGATCCGGCGGGTCCCGAGGTCATACCAACCCCCAACAGAGGCCCGACAGAGCCAAGGCACTCAGGCCCCGGCAGGCAGCCACCATGGCGGGCCCGCTCACACCCCACCACCCAGCCCCAGCTGCTGAGAGCTGCCAATGCACTGGCGGCAGCGGGGCCCACCACCAGAGGGGAGTATGACACGTTAAATGGGGGGCCAAAATTGATCCAAGAGAGGGGACAACCTAAAACCCAACCCGAGACATAAACAGGCACACAGAGACAGCCCGACACAGCCTCTATCGAGTCGTCCATGTGCCCCACCCACCCGACAGCGACTGTAAGCCAGCCCCAGGCCGGGGGCCAGAGCAGCAGGGAGCAACAGCCGAGGAAGGCGGGCCCAGCACACCAATGATCAGGCATCCCTACAGCCCCACACCACAGGCCCGGAGAGGTACGCCACCCATGCACCCCTCCACACACACAACACCCCCCACTACGATTGTCACATAAGGCCGACCAGCCAGCACCCCGTTAAAGCGAAGCCACGCCCCCGACCGCCGCCATGCACCACCAACAACCACACACACAACCACAGGCAACCCCCCACCGGAACCCGGCAGCCACCCCAGCCAAAGGGCCGGCCATTGCAACCAGGAACCCCGATCAAAAGATCCAGACAACCCAGGGAGAACCGGAACACCAGCCCCACCCCCAATCGCCCCTCAAGGCCCAACACCCACCCACAGCCCAGACCCCAACCAGGCAGCCTAACCCCCCTCCCTGCCTCCGACCCCAAATGTCAAACGGAGAACGAGGGTTTAAGAAAAAAATTATAATTATATATATGTATATATACACACACATATATATAAATAATTAACAGTAAGACCCAACTCCTCCCACTCAAATAAGGTGTTGATGCATGTTATTATATTGTGCATTTAAAATGGGGGGGGGATGAGGCGGTGACCGGCACAGACCCACCCCCTCCCCAGAGAGCAGGCAGTGCCCGTTCACCTCCCCAAACCTTGTCCAGAACACTAAATGTCTACATGCTACATATGAGTGTGTGCACAGGTCCCGGAGGTGAGAATGATTACACATCCCACCCCCTATTTGCCACCGTGTGCCCACTCCAGACCCTATATATGCATGTGTCGTGAAAATGTTATATGTGAGTGTCTAGGTTGTTTAATAAAATTGGGGCCCAGGTCTCCACGAACCATGGAGATGGAGGATCCTCCCCGCAGCTCAGTAGTGCACCTGAACCCCAAGGCCCTGACTGAGTGGTGGTGTGATGGAGTGGGCGGAGGAAGACGTCAGGATGGGGAGGAACAACTGAGGTGGCATTGCCCTCCCAGGGGGTCAGCTCCCCCACTGACAGTGCACCAAGGGCCCCATGCACCGGCCCAAAACCCCGACAACATACTCGCCAAGACCTGAGACCCCCGGGGTCAAGCTGGGACCCCAGCCTGGGAGCGACACTCCTCCAGAACCCCGATAATTTTCAAAAACAAATTCATGCAAGGCTGAAAAAAAATTTCAGTTAACTCTATCAAAAGCTTTTTCTGCATCTAGAGAGAATATTGCAGTCTCAATGTTTTACTGTAAGAATAATCTATTAAATTAAATAATCTGCATGAATTTGTGGATGAATGCCTCCCTTTTATAAAAACCAGTTTGGTCAGGATGTATTATGAGAGGTATTATTGTATTATTGTTTCCAATCTTTTTGAGAGAGTTTTACAAATTATTTTAAGATCAACATTGATAAGGGATATGGTACGATAACTGGTAGGTAATACAGGATCTTTGCCTGGTTTTAACAGGAGACTAATGTTGGCTGAGTTTATATTTTCTGGAAGTTTGTTATTTTTCTCAGTTTCTTGTAGCATTTTGTGAAATAGTGGTGCCAGGATATTCCAGAATTCTTTATAGAACTCTGCTGGGAATCCATCTGGACCTGGAGCCTTTTTATTGGACATGCTTTTGAGGGCTTCCTGGAGTTCCACTGGTGTCAGTGGTGAGACCAGCTCCATTGATTGACTATCTGATAATTTAGGAAGTGTTATTTTATCCAGGAATTGATCAATTTCATTATCTGATGGGTTTATCTGGGGTGAGTATAAAGCTTTATAAAAATCTCTGAAAATGCTGTTTATTCTTTCAGGATCATAAACTGTATTCCCAGTCAAGTCTTTAACACCATGAATAGTTGTTTTTTCCTTATTTATTTTAAGCTGTTTTGATAGAAAGCTACCTGATTTATTGTTCTGCTCAAAGTTTTCTTTTCTGAGTCTTTGTAATAAGAATTTAGTTGTTTTGTTAATAGGTTCATTTAATTCTAATTTTGCTTTACACATTTTGTCCAGCATGTCTTCATCTTGGGAGGCTTCTAACAATTTAATGGTTTCTTCTAATTCCTGAATATTTTTGATGCTGATGTTCCAGGCAAGTCATTATACTCCAGATATG